AGTCCCGACCGACTGAGTTGAGGTACCTTTATGAAAAGTAATAGGTTAGGGTTTTACATAACAAGAAATACGTATATGTTGGAGTTGGAGGAACTTGGCGTGGGTGTGTGCGGAGTCCTTGCCGGAGGAGAGATTGGGCGCCGAGAGTTTTCGAGCAACTAGGGAGGTGGAGTTCTATGGTGTCCAATATTATAGCCTGAGTTGGACGGGTTCAAGTCCGGGGAGCTCACACTATAGTCTGTACGGAGTTACTAAAGTAGGTGTTCTACTTTCAATAATTTGGGGTGTTCGCTAGTTTAAATGATGTAATGTTAACTTTAAGAGGGAAGTAAATTATGTTACTTGATATATTTGTTATCAAAGTGACCAATAATCTTTCAAGCAAAGTAGAAAAAGTCCGAAGCCAAGGGGTCCAAAGAATTCTAACAGAGCCAGGCGGTTGCTAATTAGCTAGCTATGCATCCTCTTATATTGTTGCTATATTGTATCCTAATGGAGAGATATAGTGTGAATAGTGGAGCATTAAATCTCTATCAAGTTCACCGTTCTTAATAATCAGTAGAGTATATCAATTTGAAACCCGCTCATTTAAACACGCAGATTATGAACTCGGTTTCAACAAGATCTAAGAAGTTCGAACATATTATTGCTATTTGGGTGGTGAATATAACCACCAGAAATATAGATACTGAAGTCGCGCACTACCCAATGCGCATGAGAATAGATTTGACGTTAAGATTCACATTACAATACGACGAGAGAGAGTGAGATGCACCTGTAATTATTTCATGAGTTTCTAGCTAACCTAGGACAATAGTATTTTGTTCAATCTAAGATTCGCCGATCAGACTGACTTCTGTAGAATTTAACACAATCAGTATTAAAAGAGACTATCGCATCTGATTGCCTATTGACAGTATGCTATGAGACCTTATAGCGTCACAATTTAAAACTAAAAATAATCATAACCAATAAACCTGAATAAAAGTATGAAGTAATTATGTACGATTTTAGAGGGTCTGCGGGTGAAGTCTCTTAATGGAAACTGAAGAATATCGATACTTATGCGGGAGGGTTGTATATATAAAAGATATAGACTTATTTATTATTATCAGGTTCGAAGTTGACATCGCGATTTCAAAAATTCGGTCCGGACCATTCAGTGACGTTACGGGACTAATTTTTTTCAATCCGGAATCAAACACGGATTCATAAACCAATTCCTAAACTTGACCGATTGGTACTAGACTAGATCGGATTTATCAGATTCCATTCGAATTGTTTTGTCAGCCCAACTAAGGCCCTATTTGGTAAGCCTAGATGGGATGGATTAACTTTAAAATACTATAACATGCTACAAAAATAGAAGTGTACTAAAAATCATAAGGAACTGTGCAAAAATGCTCCGATAATTCATATACGTATTCACATAGATTCATTTTCACTTTTCTCATCACAAACTAAAAAAATACTAACATAAATGCGAATTACTAATTTCACATTAATTCTTAATCAGAGATTAAATTGATTAGTTCTAAAAAACTGAAGATAAAAAATTCTTCTCTAAAATAGCTTAGAACATAAGGGATCGATTCACACTGGGACGCCGAGAAAGAGAGTCAAACAACAAAAGCTTACCCAAGTTCTTTGGGTTGTGAGGTTAGACACCATTTCTACAACAATAAATTGTATTCAGCCCGAGAAGAAGGCGGCTTGCGTTGGTCTCTTCAAATGATATATCTAGCAATTCTTATTTGGGAGAGGGTCACTAAAAATTGCTTTTTTCTAATTCTTGGAGTGAGAGTGTGTTTTCCAAAGGGGCTTATAGTTTATTCGCCGGTATGAGATTACTCAGTAGGATAAAAAAGTCATATCTCAAAATTTTTGTTAGTTAGTCACTTTCGCGTATCTTGTTGAAAAAGAATCGATGAACATTCCTTTTTTAATGGAAACTATCACACAGAATGCCAGTGGCAAGCGGAGAGACGACGCGATTTTCATAAGACAGTGGAATAGAAGCATTATAAACTAACTATGATCTATTGAATAGAAGATTATATTGATACCCTATTCGAGTGAATACCGCCAAAATAGCATTTAACCTGCCCGAACCGTACCTTAAACTTTACGACTTGAACGGCCACAATTAAATTTTGACATGGAAAAAGATACGACATGTTCTCTTTATAGAAAAATATATACAATAACATTAAATTTGATTCTTGAAACCAAACATTAAAATTTCGATTGATTGTATATGTATTTTTTGTAAGTTATTAAACTCTAATTGTTGTTTTAATATTTAGCTCCTTTCAATCACCATAGCCGACTTTCAGTCGCTATTCTTTGTCCTTATTAGTATAAACATTACAAGTTAGAAGAAGATATTATTTGTATAGTTGATACTATTAAACCTCATATTATATAGGTTTGTGTAGCTTTAAAAGAGAGCTGCAAAACCGATACCAAGTTGTTTGTTCCGGTGAGTATCATTAATAGACAGATAATGTTGTTTCCTATATTGAGATTGACAAAGATCAATAAAAAATAAATAAATTTTAATTGACAAAATTAAAAAATGGAATTTATTTTGTTACAAAGAGTCAAACTTATCTATTAACCGTAAAAGCCAACCTAAGATGGGGTAAATTAGGTTTTTACAATAAAATTTTAATACCAGCTCAATAATCGATGAATTATGACCTAATTACAATAGGAGGACCGGAATAATAATTAAGACAACATCCAAGATTAATTTAAGAAACTTAGGGACAGTCTCTTAACAAACTATTCACACTACAAGGAAAAATTATTTTTGAACTTATGTTAGCGAGACGGTGAAAGGATATGCCTGCCGTCGCAAAATACTTCAAAATGCCGTCCTCAAAAGGTTTTTGTGACGGCAAGATGACTTTTAGCGGACGGCAAAGTGGGGGTCGCAACAAATCGGGGAAGGTGTTGCAAAAGGGTTTTTAGCGAGAACGGGCACGGACCGTTACCGTCGCCGTTTTTTTTGCGAACGGCACCCATGTTGGCTTTTTGCGACGGTCCAGTTCTTCTGTCGCCATAATGCGAAAAAACTGAAATTTTTTGAGACGGCACTCTTGTGGTTGTCGGTCTCTAAAGGTGTATTATTTGGCGACGGCAAAAAAATCCGGTCGTAAAAATCAGTGGTGGGAGACAAAGCACCGATGGTCGTGGCGAGCCAAGCGTCGCTAAAAACAGCATTATTTGCGACGGCAAAGAGTACCGTCGCAAACCAAACTTTGTCTCCAAATCTGCCCGATCATCTTGCGATCGAGCTAATGTGGTGCCGTCTCAAAAATTACCCATATTAAATAAGAGTTAATAACTGGACAGTAAAATTTATTAATTAGTAGAAGTAATAAAACAATTACAAACTTAGAATGTAAAGAATAATTATAAAAAAGAAAACACGCCCAATAAACTTTACATATATAAATAGGAAAAATCGACAGTAACATAAATTAGTACAATACATGTTCCCATAAGAAACAAGTTATCTCTTCGGCATTCAAAAATTCATAGTACCGTCATTAACATTACGACATTAGTGTTCAAAATTATCCTTACTATCATGAGGAGTATTGCGATAAATACATTACACAATTGTATTAAATACATAAATATTGTTCTCAGAAATATCAAACAAACATAACGTAAATCAAAAATAGAACATTTCCATCACCTATGACGTTCATTCCGATGGGGATAACAAATAACAAAAGTAAATTGCGCGTAATCTACTTTTTTCCACCAGTTACTGACGCCACTTCCTTTATATACCTACCAGAGAAGTGCTAAACTGCTCCAACGATATGATTGATATCTGAACATACCAAAAGAAATGATATGAGATAAACAATAGACAAATAATTATGGATAATGTGTTTATATTTGTTTAATTACATAAAAAAAAAAAGGTAATATAAAAAATATAACTACTATACTATAACATTACAAAGATAAGTAATCACATAATGGAATCCAATAATATCAAATGTATTTAGAAATATCTTGCCAATTTCCAGAACATAGAATACAAAAAAATAAATAAATAAAATAATTTATAAAGCCAATATAGAACAACTTAAATCGGGTGTCTGTAAGCCGACTTTTTTAGTATTGGAGCACATAGCTGTTAGGAGTGAGAGTAAAAAAATTAGTATAGATGAGTAATACAGAAGCATTAAACGAACATCCTTTCTGTAACTATTTTTCTATATGAATAAATTTTGTGTTAACAAAATCATATCTAAACTAATCCATCTGTTGGATATAGTTCATGAAAAAGTATGGCATATGCAGTAGAGCGTCATCGCACGCTAGCACATAATATTTGTCAAAATAGAGAGACGGTCATATTGAGAGAAAGCGACTCGCAATAAAGCTGCACCCAAACGCTAGCACCCTCTCGATATGTCAATGGGCTGTAATGAGAAAATTGTTCCTAGGGTTATCCATGGTATGCCCAACAGTGTACCTATACCTTAGGAGAAAAAAAAACCACTGCAATGTTTAGCAATCACCGATGTCCTTAACGTTAAGCTCTTTAACTGATTGCACTATTGTAAAAATATAAATTCACGTCACTGAAATTGGAATAACAGAATAGTTACATAACAAGCCTATTACAATGTAGATCTATAATCAGTAACTGTGTTTTATTCATCCATACATAAACAAAACTTCCAAATATTGACAAAATAGGGAAGAGGGGGGGTGGAGGTAAAAGTTACATAAATGTATTAGAATCATAATTTATCAGATTTTTTTTTTTTGGCAGATAAGTAAATATAACCGAATGATGAATTACACCACATCCAAAAATCAACATAAAAAGAAAAATTAAAGACACTTAATGATCTTTTTAGTGCGCATTTGGTATGTATTAAGAATGTTCAAAATATAATCACCATCCAATTTTCATTTAATTATGCCTATAGGAAAAAAAAAATATGATTAGAACTTCACTCATATATCCCGCAAAGTAAAATTAATCACTTTGTCACTTGGTTGAAATCTTATCGTGTGTTTGTCTAATGAATAATTCTTGCAGATTACAGTTATTTGGAAATAAAATTGGTCCAATACCTGGGTAAATCCAGCTAGCCATGTTATTGATATAGCATAGTTTCCCATTGGACGAATTTCTTCAGGTTCAATATCTTCGAGAGCATCATTATACTGTAGTTTTTGCTCAATGTACCCACAAATTCAAGGATAAAAGGGGTAAAAATAACACTAAACCACAAATTCTGAAAACAATCCTCTGAAACAAGTTTCAATAAAAGAAGCCGAGTACTTTGCCACCAACATTCTTTCTCCTAGCTTCTTCATGGTCCATAATACCCGTAGATGTTGTCAGCACAATGTACCCAAACTGCAAGATCATTAAGCATCCATCATTATCACATAACCCAAAATGTAAATTATACAGTGAGATCACAAACGAAGCATAAGAAAAATATAGGCACGGTGTACATTGTGAATGTTGCATATCACTCAAATTCAAAGGGTTCACAAAGGTATGAACGAAGTATAATTCTCCAATCAATTCCAAAAAATCCAGTAATTGTAGCCTCTAATTTTCATTTCAATGAGCAAGAACACCTCATTCATAGACTAAATAACAAATATTTTCCAAGGCTAACCTGTCTTGAGGGGAGCAATCTGGCCATCCAAGGTTCAATCTCTTTGACCCCAACATCAAAACAAGGACTAATAACCCCACATTTGTTCAGCCTTCCATTCAATTCAACCACAATTTTTCCAGATCTGTGATCATCAACGTACTCAAACTCTCCAATGTAACCTACAACACCAATTGAAAGTTGAATAAACATATCTTTACATATTTCAAACAAACTTGTTTCAACTTTCATGAGAAAGAAGACTAAAATTTTAAAATTGATGGAGATGAATTATGCAAGAGGACAAACCATGCTTCTGCATGACAATAAGGAACTTGGTTATCACATTTACGGATGGCCTGATCATGACCTGTCGTTTTCCTATCTTCTCTGCATTGTACATGCTCTTGAGAGCATCATTCAGGACACTAACTCTCACCATCCTGGCAAATGAAAAGTGCTGAAAAATTACAGCACAAATTAATTTGCTAAAACAGCACAAGAGATGTAGAGAGTTATCAGTTAGGAATAACAACAAAGAAGATACACCAGCTCCCACAGTGACGCAAACAGAGCATACCACGGCTATATAAGATTGTATTAAATGGACTAACATTTTCTTCCCCCACTCCAAATATAGATGGAACAAATTACTACTAAAAGATTTCTATACGGCACCCATGAAAATAATTGGAGATTGCTAATTTGTAACCATTATGGTTGTATACACGGCCTCATTTCTCAAAATGTGGGCACCACCAATGTGAGAGGGTGGCTTGTTGATACTGCCAAAATGGCTGCAGATTTAACATTGCCCAATAATTTTTCGTCTTAAATGGGGATATGGATTCCACGTCTTTCATAGGATAGAAATAGAACACTTCAGTAAATACTCGGTGCCATAAATTGAAAATAAAAACCTTAATTACAATACCAAATTATACATATCTCAAGGCAAAGATTCAATTATTCAAACAACTCAAGACATGCCAACTCTGTTCAACACATGCAGTTAAAATAAGGTAACACTGTAAAGTAATGTTCTTCAAACGAAGCACCATAACCTTTAAGATGGTTTATGCCATACATCATTCCACCCAGAAATGAAATTATAACCTTACCACAGAAAAGAAAGACAGCGTAGTCCATGTATGGTCTACATGTATCCAGGATTAGTAATGAATAAATATAATATTGTACTACTAAAAATAAAAATAAAAAGCAAAAAACACATACAAATCAAAATTTCCAAGTTGCAGCTACTGAAATATGTCTAAAAAGGATGTCAACAATTTAAACATGAAGACAATATTTGACTTCATCTAGAACAGGACCGCAAATCCATCAAATTTCAGCATCCACACTAGTCCACCATTTGTATTCAATCATATAAACCTACCTTCTAGTAGTTTTTTCTTCTTTTCTTTTTTTTTTAAATGAATAATCAATCTACGTGAATGAAATCTTAAAAAATGGATAAAGAAGTCAAAATGAGCTTGAAGCAATGGCAAGTGGGAAGAAAGTTAAAATTTTATTAAAGAAACCAAAAGCACCGCAAACTCAACTAGAACCAACTGATTTCTTCAAGCACTGTCACAAAGTCACTAACCACATGCCCATAACATACAAACATAAGTTGTACCTAACAAACATCAAATCATTTTCCTTTCAATATTTGCCTATCACCTTCAGCCCAAAACAGCAACATGATAAGCACCAATTATCATACTACTCAAAGCTCTATGATTGACAACCTAACAATTTATGAGGTGAATTGAAACTAATAAAGGACAAAAATCTAATAACCTAACCAAACATGCATACGACATCAAACCGGAATTGACACAGCAATTTGAGATTTGAAAGTGAATTAATGGACCCAATATCACAAACTAATAAATACAAACAGAAGACAATGCCGAATACGTGAAGACACAGACACTTCCAAACATGTACCATTACACTTTAGATACTTAGTAGACATGTGCTTAGTGTTTAAACATGCATGAAATCAATAGCAAGTTTTGATGAAAATAGCTTGGAACCAATGATTAAAATAAAAAAGTGCATTTCTACCTATCAAAACGTCCACTTTAAGATTTTATATATATGAACCCTAAATTCTAAAACTTCCAATTCTGTTGGTTCAATAAAATAGGTCTAATACCTGGGTAAAAAATAGCATTTCC